TGTGTGTGTGTGAGTGTGTGTGTGTGTGTGTGTGTGTGTGTGTGTGTGTGTGTGTGTGTGTGTTTTTTGTGTGTGTAAAACGCTAAACTTGGGTGTGTGTGCCACTCAGCAGAAAGAGTGGTGGAGGCTCGATCATCCCTCTGAAAATCCCATCGCCAGCCTCTGAGAAATCAAACCAACGATGACCCAGAGTGTGAATCATTAACACTGAGAAAATCGAAAGTGTGCAGAGACAGGGAGGAAGTCCAATAGCTGAGCCACAGATACTAAGAAGGGTTTGGAAACAGGGTAGTTGATGAGTGGAACAGTCTACCTAGTTGGGTTATTGAGGCTAAAATATAGGTTGGATAAATACATGAGTGAGAGGGGTTGGATTTGAGTGGGAGTTACATATGAGAGCGGATAGAGTTATCGGAGCTTGTTTCTTGGGTGGCATTGAAAACTGGGTTGGGCAAATGTTTTGTTAGTGGGATGGATTGTAAAGGACCTGCCAAGTATAGGCCAACAGGCCTGCTGCGGTGATCCTCCTTTCTTATGTTATGTTCTTAAGGGTGAATAAAACAGGGTAGATAAAATGAATGAACACCGAAAAAAACCGGGTAGAAGAAAAAAGGGGGCGGTGAGATAAAAGTAAAGGGATAGGGAAGGGGGGGAAACAGTAAGGGGATATTCATGTTATACCAGCCCAAATAACCATCCTCGTCTATGATCGTCATTCATTTTCTCCACCCTTATAATTCTGTGTCCCATACCTAACCTTAAAATTAAAATCTCCCAGACAAAACTATTAAAATCTGTCATCTCAAAACCTTTTCATAATCTATCTCGCTTAACGAATGTTATCTAAATATATATCGTTTAACGACGTTATCTATAATTTATCTCGCTTAACGAACGTTTCCTAAAATTAATCTGTTTAACGAATTTATTAAATTTCTAATCTCGCCTAACGACTTATTTATTCCCTAAATTTCATTTAACTCGTAAAAATCTTCTCGCGATCAAACGTTATCCTTTCATCGTCTCTTTTTATCTAACGTTATCCTAAACTTCATTTTCTACGTATCCAAAAAATTACCTTAATTTACCACCTATTTAATTTATTTAATAAACCCCCATTTATTTAACTTTCTAAATTACCTTAATAATCATCTGTCACTGCCACTGAATTAATTAAAAAAAGAATAAAACGAGCTGAGGGTTTTTAACCTTATGTAATATTAACCTTATATAATGTTAAATTATAATGTTAGCCTTATATAAAGTTAACCCTTTTAAAAATGTTAAACTTATATTTGTTAAAACCCTTTTAAATGTTAAAATTATATAATGTTAACCCCCATAAAAAGTTAACCCCATATAATGTTAAATTTTTTTGTTAACCTTATATAATGTTAACCCTTTTTTAAAATTAACCCTTTATAATTTAGCCTTAAATTTTTGTTAACCCCAATAATGGTAAACTTTTATTTGTTAACCTTTTATAATGTTAACCTTATATAATGTTTAAATTTTATTGTTAACCTTAATAATGTTGCCTTATATAAAGTTAAAATTTATTATGTTAACCTTATAAAATGTTAACCTTTTAATGTTAAAACCCTTTTATAATTTAACCCTTTATAATTTTGCCTTTTTAATTTAAACTTATATTTGTTAACTTATATAATGTTAACCTTATATAATGTTAACCTTATATAATGTTAACCTTATATAATGTTAGCCTTATATAATGTTAACCTTATATAATGTTAAACTTATATTATGTTAACCTTATATAATGTTAACCTTATATAATGTTAACCTTATATAATGTTAACCTTATATAATGTTAACCTTATATAATGTTAACCTTATATAATGCTAACCTTATATAATTCTCGATATATATTAACACTCATGTTAGAACTGTTCATCTATAATCTGTTTACATAACAAAAACTGATCTTTCGTTTATTTTCACGCTAAGTAAAGAAAAAGATAAAAAAAAGTTCATTTGTAATTTTTCTTACAGAAAATCGTAAAAAAACGTGACGTGAGGATCTTATAAAAAATATAAACTGAACTATGGTTGGGAATCTTTTAGAACTTTCGACTTTGTCTTATAATTTGAAGAGGACTTTTATTTTTAACACTACGTAACTAACTTAGCAGTAAGGAAAGGCCATTTTAGACGACGTTTCGATCGGTCCTGGACCAGTCTAATGTCATGACTGAGATGAGAATACCACCAGGTGACAGGTTAAGTGAAGAGATTAAAAAATGTCTCTGGCTTTCTCCTCTCTCTGTCTCCCTGTTTCTCTCTCTCTCTCTCTCTCTCTCTCTCTCTCTCTCTCTCTCCTCTCTCTCTCTCTCTCTCTCTCCTCTGTCTGTCTGTCTGTCTGTCTCTCTCTCTCTCTCTCTCTGTCTCTCTCTCTCCTCTTCTCTCTCTCTCTCTCTCTCTCTCTCTCTCTCTCTCTCCTCTCTCTCTCTCTCTCTCTCCCTCTCTCTCTCTCTCTCTCTCTCTCTCATTTGTGGCCTTGATAATGCCACGTGAGAGATGGACATTAATGAACAGTCGACATAATTATGCAAAATAGGGCCTATAAGGGACTCTGCAATCATGCAAATGCAACGAGGAAGTCCTTGCCGTTGTAGTCTGTCCCTGTGACGTCAACGTCGGTGTTTCTACTTGTTAAACCACAACCACTGTCTCTACGTCCGCTATTTAGGTCACACTGATAATGTTCCAGGATGGACCCAAACATCCTGTGACGTTTCCTCTCCAAACTCTGGGTTTATTGTGAATATGTTAGGTTGACATCAGTTAACTAAATTTAACGAATTATATTAACATTTTAGAGTCACAGTCTTCAGTCGCAGTAAAATACAGACGTATGTTTAGGACAATGGATTCAACATACACAGAGTGGTGTATGTCTCTCAGTGAATGTCCAATGAGTAATTACTGTAATCCTTGTTTAAGGGATTAATGTATTCTTAACAAGTGAGAAAGAGGTTACGTGTAGGTTTAATAAGCCTCTTATTTTCGACAAGCTTGTAGAATGAGACACTTATGCTACATATGAGAATCTTTATTGAGAAAACGTTTTGCCATACAGTGGCTTCTTCAGTCCAATATGAAGAAGAATGGTGTAAAGAGAGAAGGAGTTTGAGGTTATCAGTCCATCAGCTTGGAATAGATGTGTTCAGTCCAACAGTCTTGAAGAAAGTACAGCATATAGACTGAACACATCCATTCCAGGGTGAGGGACTGATTACCTTAAACTCCTCCTCTCCTTACACCCTTCTACTTTGTATTGGACTGATGAAGCCACTGTGTGGTGAAACGTTTCCCCAATAAACATTCCCACATGTTATATAAGTGTCTCATTCCTCAACGCGTCGGTTTTCTAAATCATTTATCACATTCGACTTAAAAACCCATTAAGCAGGATGTGTTTTCCTGAGATCCTTCACTGCGATGCTTGTGTCACTGAGCCGTGACATCGAGCTGGTCACTACATCCACTGCTTCCAGAAATCTACTGTTTTCCGCATTGGACTGATGAACCATGTTGTGTAGACATCAACGGTACCTAAATTCTCCAAATGTGCCTTATTCATCAAATTTAGGTACAAACTCCCTGAGGTCAGGTCATCAGGCCAGATTTCCCAGATCTGGTCACGTCGTTATAATATGCTTTTTGAAATGTGAAACTCTAGCTGTGGTAGGGAGGCCGGGTGCTATATCAATTAGAGGTCACCATCTATGACTCTTATCCGGAGAAACTGTTTCCTAACAAACTTAACACTACCAGTCTGGAGTGCGACAACGCATATCATTACTCAAGTCTGGAGTGCGACATAGCATTTCATCGCTCAGGTCTGGAGTGCGACATCGCATTTCATCACTCAGGTCTGGAGTCAGCTAAGTCAGCGATTGGTTGCAAATCGTATGGTGCTCACGATAGGCTGGGGAAAATGACACTCTTGGGCAGCTCAAGAGTGTCATTTAAAGGAAACGTTTCGCCCTGAGTGGCTTCAACATTTATAATAAATCTGTATTATGACTGATGAAGCCACTCGTGGCGAAACGTTTCCTTTAATGAAATGTACACAAGTGCACATTTCTAAAGACAGCAATGTGGCCTATATTGTACGCAGATATACACAAGTTCAGATAAATATTATACATATGGATACCACGTGTACACCTGTCGTAAATGTATGATGTATTGCTCTGGATGATTTGTAAGTGTACTGCGTGAATATAACATACAACATGTATCACTGTATGAACACCTATGTGCACCCATGTATACACATCTGAATGTAAGCATGTATGTACCCCTGTATGAAAAACATGAATCCATGTAAGTATCCGACAGTTAGACAAGCATGTATCAATGTAAGTAAACCTTAAATACACTCATGTATGTGTCCAATATATGTGTCATATGCTGCAACAATCGCAAACAGGCAATGTACAAGATGTACAATGTGTATGATGTACAATGTGTATGGATTGTTCAGAGAAGCAACTTGCATTCTCTAGCGACAGCCTCACACTAGCGACAGCTTGCACTAGACTGAACATTTCAGAGTGTCATAGTAAGTTATGGGTAAGACTACTGGCTGCAGCCTCACACACGGGTTATGAAATTGATGTATTCGTCAACAACAACAAAAAAAAAGAAGCCTGTCAGCATTTTTTAAACAGAGAAGTCATCGACAAGTTCAGGAAACACTGCGTCAGGAGACACGAACTTTGTCTACGGTCGAAGACTCAGTAAGAATAAAAACTACATTAAAATAAAATTCTACAGATATGCGACTGTATTTACTGTCTTGAAAATTTTTAATAAAAAAATAGCGACAGAAAATGTATTCTTTATCTACAGCCGAAAACTGGAAAAAAAATGATATTCACTCATATGATTTTGACTCTCTGGGGTCAGGAAATTTATGTTGGGAGACTTAATGAATACCAATGAGAAGTGATACGAGAAGGTGACCCAC